ATGGGTCAACGACATAGTTGTTTCAGGATATGCCATCCCTTTCAACTCCATCCCCCCCCACTCACCACCCTCCCTGTCCCTTTTCAGGGACCCCTCTCATGAGATTCTTCTACAGCAAGAGGTGTCCCGACTACTTACTATAGGAGCTGTGGAGAGGGTACCCGTTCAGTTCCGGGGGAGAGGTTTCTACTCCCGGTACTTCCTCACCCAGAAGAAATCAGGGGGTTGGAGGCCTATTCTGGACCTGCGTCGACTCAACCGCTACCTGTGGAAACAAAAATTCAAAATGGTCACGTTGGCTTCTGTCATCCCGGCTCTCCACAAAGGGGATTGGGTTGCGTCCCTCGACTTACAGGACGCCTATTTCCACATAGCAATTCACCCGGCCCACAGGCGATTCCTTCGTTTCGTAGTGGGCACAGAACATTACCAATACCGCGTCTTACCCTTCGGTCTGTCAGCAGCACCACGGGTGTTTTCCAAAACCCTGGCGGTGGTAGCTGCCTACCTCCGACGCCTCAATATTACAATCTTCCCGTATCTCAACGATTGTCTACTAAAGGCCCCTACTCGCCAAGAGGTGGCATGGCAGTGACCACCACCACATCAGTATTCGAGACGTTGGGCCTTATAATCAATTTCGGCAAATCGTCCCTAACACCAAGTCAGGACTTGGAATTTATTGGCGCGAGATTCGATGCACTGAATGCAAGAGTGTACTTACCTACAGCAAGACTCCAGTTGATCCAGGATTTGGTGCAGACTGTCTCAATTGCTCCCAGATCCAGCATACTCACTTGTCTAAAATTGCTGGGGCACATGGCTGCCACCACATATGTGGTGCCACATGCGAGACTTCACCTATGCAGTCTCCAGCATTGGCTGTTCAAGGTGTACACGCCGGGGGTACATGCTGTGAGCAAGACAGTGTCCATTCCCGGACGCGTCAAGACTTCACTGGCATGGTGGGACAACCCCAAAAACTTGTTATCGGTCGTACCATTCCACGCACGCAGGCCCATGGTACAGATCACAACGGATGACTCTTTGATCGGCTGGGGGGCACATCTGCAGGAACATCGAGTTCAAGGGCTCTGGATGACACAGGAGTCCCTGCAACACATAAACCTCCTCGAACTGTGGGCTGTATTCAACGCATGCAGACATTTCCTGCAGATGATCCGAGGTCTTGCAGTCCACATTCTCACCGACAATATATGCATGGTGTACTCTATCAACAGACAAGGCGGGGCGCGTTCACGACCCCTTTGCGCAGAGGCCATACGACTGTGGAACTGGGCAGTCCACCACGGTATAACCCTCACCGCATCGTACCTCCTGGGCAAGGACATTACCATCGCCACACAACAAGGTATAATGTACCATTAGGCTAATTCATAATAATAGAGCAGTTTAAAAAAGCCTGACTACAGTTAAAAAGAACCAGTTTTTTTGTCAGGATCTCTTATTTAAATGAATCATTGTATCAGAGTACAGGCTGCACCTCTCTAGTCCGGCACTCTCTGGTCCTCCAACATCCGTGGTCTGGCATGCTTTTAGTTAGCTGGATGTCTATTTATACTGGGTTAGGCCATGTTTGCCATGGTCCCATAAAGTTGGTTTACAGCTACAAGTGCTGGCTCTCAATGGTCTGTGCTGTTGTTAGCTCTAATTTAGCCCAAGAAGTATTCTAAGAGCCCAGTAAGCAATGGGAGTATTGGTAATGCTGCTAGACAATATTGATCTTTCATGGTCTGCCAAATTCTCTGATTCAGCACCGATCAGGTCTTGCAGGTGTTGCACTAGAGATGTTCAACCTGTAGTTAGAAATCACAAAGCTTATTATGTCATTCTTTCTGTTTTATGCATATTTGTTTCCTCTTTGTTTATTATGGCATTAAATGTCCCAATACTGTTGTTTCTCCACACTTCCTTTGAAAAATCATTCTTCTGTATAATAAATTTCACTATTAAGAATTTTATCTTAATATTTTACCTCAAATTATCCTTTTCTTAATTTTATCTGACTATTCTTAATTATTATAATCTGTAGTACCACCATAAACAAATCTTCCTTGGTCATTGAAATGCTTGTGGTCATTCATCATACACCAGCACTATTGATGGATTAATTGGTGTTTCCATATTTGGTGTTCCAAATTTGTATTTTATTGTATTTGTATTTTATTGTATTACATTTCAGCAAGTTTCACTGTTACAAAGACATGCTTTAGTAAACATTTTCACTACATGTTGCCTGTGGGTGTGACAGAAAATGACAGTTGGCATCAAAATATAAATGTATGCAGTTCATCTGACAGCTACAAGATATTATAAGCATTTAGAATAGCATAGGGATTCTAAAAGAATACCAGCCATATGTGGTTGCCACTGGCCTTCTATCTGCATAGAACACCCTCTTTCCAAAGCCTCATTCCTTGCCAGAAGACGCACGTTTACATACCCTCGATGTTAGACGGGCACTGGCCTTCTATCTGCATAGAACACCCTAAGTGGAGCACCCTCGGGGACACTACTCGACGAAGAAGAGAGAGTTACTCACCCTGTGTGTGCAGTAACGTCTGTTCTTCGAGATGTGTGTCCCCGTGGGTGCTCCACGACCCATCCTCCTCCCTGCTTTGGAGCTTCTATTTATCTCTTTCAGATGCTTCTGGTTGCGAGGAAACTGACAAGCCGGCCTGCACTCAACTGTAACGGCGCGAACGGCGCGAGGCAACAGGAGTGCATGCGCGGGCCGGCAGGCTACTGCTATGGAAGTTTCTCAGTTTTGTGGCGCCGGGACAGACCCCAGCACCTTGAGTGGAGCACCCACGGGGGGACACATCTCGAAGAACAGACGTTACTTCACAGGGTGAGTAACTCTCTCTTCTTGCGGAAATACTATTCTGCTCCCGTTCAGGCAAAAGTCCCTTTTGCGCAAAGCTTTTGAGCAAAAGGGCCAGTGTAGACAGCTCAGATTTGTTTTCTGCAAAAAAGCCCCAATCGCGAAAATGGCAATTGGGGCTTTTTTTTTTGCGGAAAAGCGTGTCTAGATTGGCACAGACGCTTTTCCACAAAAAGTGCTTTTGCAGAAAAGCATCCATGCCAATCTAGACGCTCTGTTCCGAAAATGCTTTTAACGGAAAACTTTTCCGTTAAAACATTTCCGGAAAATCATGCCAATCTAGACACAGCCAGAGAGACCACCTTTTGATTATTAATTTGACAGGGTAGGGTAAATGATTTCTTTCTCCACAGTTGATGCCATTTTAGTGGCTAAAGAGGTACATTTATCAGTGTGTATATTTGGTTAAGTTGATGATGTATTTAAACTGAAGTGTGAGATTTAGGGTGTGTGTTATGTGCTAAAATATTTTAATGGTGATATTGTTTGTCTTCATGGCTACTGTTATAAGGTAAGGCTTAAAATGCAAAAGATAATTCACATTACCACTTGATTGTTTCTCCACGGTAAATATTTTGAATAGATTATTTTGCCTATACTCAAAGTTCACTTAAAGGTGCCAGAAATATCCACTCAAGATACTTATGCAAGCATTTATCCATATCCATCAGATTCTTTTACCCTGAACCTGGAGGACAAAGATTACTTTTGTGCGTGTTTGTTTTTTTAAAGAAAAATATACATAGCATTGTGTGAATGACAATTGGAAAATTATTTTCCTTATTGTGTGTTTTAATTAAGTTGTTATCCTGCTATCTGTCTCCACATCAGAGTCAGGTTTTTCTAATTGTATAAACTTGGATGTGAAGAGAATATATAAAATGTAATGCAATTTAAAGAGATGCTAGCTCATATAAGCTTCCTAAACCCCCAAAAATACGTGTACTCAACCTTCTTCTGAGAGGGACAATTGGGAATATTAGAAAATTCTTGAGTCTATAGGAGAGACACGAGAACCTAGGAATAAGAGTCTGTATTGGTGAAACTTTTGTATCAGTCTTAATGCGGCCATATACTAGTATTTAAAGAAAAACATATATATAATATTTTTGTTTTAAAAAAAGTTGGAATTAAGCATTGAAAATAAGAGTTAAGGATATCATTCCATCCTTAACCAATTGCATGAAGGTATTGTATGTCACCTCCAAAGTAAGATCACCCATTGTTGTGAACCAATTTGCCCACCTGCTTTGAGGACCAAATTTAGGTAGTTGTAGCTACAAGATGCGCTAAGGATGGAGTGTGAAACATAATTGTATTCTTGCTTTTGTGATTTTTTTAAAAATCCAATATCTTTGCTGTTTTTCTTAAGGGTTCAGTAGAAGTATAGATTGAACCTCTCTAATCCAGCAACCTCAGAATCTGACCAGTGCCAACCAGAGAATTTGCCAGACCACAGGAGATTCAATATTGTCTAGCAGTGTTACCAGCACTTCCACTGCTTATTGGGCTCTAAAGAAGACATTTAGGGATAAATTAGAGCTAAATAGTAGCACAGAACACTGAGAGCCAGGACTTTATGGAACCATTGGAACCTTAGCTACACCCATGATAAGTGGACCCGGCTCACTTAAAATCATGCTGGACCACTGATGTTGCCAGACTAGAGAGGTTCAACCTGTAGTTTGAAGACCAATGAAGTGCACTCATGTCTCTTAATATTCTTATGATTGTGGAAACTAATAACCCATTCCTTGTGTAGATTTAATGAATAGCGACTGTCTCTCACTTCTCTTTACAACCTTGCAGTTAATCAAAACAATTAAGGAATGTTATCTTTATTCTGTTACTGTTAATTGTAGTGAAAGAAGAGTGGTATGCCCGAATCACCAAATTAAGAAAGATGGTAGATCAGCTTTTCTGCAAAAAATTTGGTAAGTACACAGAGAGTACTCCAGCTTTTTAATGCATAATAGATTGGTTTTGTACTAGCTAGTCTTAAGAAAGCTTTATTGCAGGGGTGAGGAAAGCTTTATTGCAAGGGGTGGCCCTTGGCTTGCTTGGGCTCCCCCAGCATTGGGGAGCCTGTGCTGGTGCTCCAGCCCCTCTGCTTCCCCCCTGGAGGCTGGAGTGCACAAAATCTACTAGACTGCCTTCTCTCTCCCCCCCCGGTCTGGTGTGCAAGGGGAATGTGGGAAGTGTCTTTCTCCTTATCGATCGGGGGCCATAGTGAGGGTTTTTTTCCTCCTACTTCTCACTTGTGTGCAGCCCCCAACTGATTTTGTTTTTGGTGGGTCAGTAGCCTCCAACCCTAAAAAAGGTTCCCCACCCCTGCTTTATTGGATCGTTCCAAGGCATAAATAGATGAAACTCTTGAATTAAATTTTTCCAAATGCTTCATATCCTGACTAGTAAGCAAAAATAAACCTTTTATTACTGTGATTGTTCAAAAAGGTAAGTTTACAATAAAAGACACTGAATTAATTTGTAAAATTGTCTTTTTTGTTCTGATCTCTTTTGCATGTAGATTTTTCTCTTCAGTTATGTTAAAGCAAATAGCTTATTTTTAATGTACAGTATATCATCTCTGACATTGTTATAATTAATAGCTGGGAATTTCTGATCTGCTTGAATTTGAAAGCTGCTTAGGAACATATGCAAGTCATGAATGAAATAATTGAAAAATGTGATACTGTAAGAAAATAATTTATACTTACCTTGAGCCACATGCTGTTTTAACTTTTTCTGCTGTCCAAACTCAGTGGCATTAATCTTCAGTCTATCACTGTTAATGGGCTATGTACTGAGCATCGGATGAGATATGATAATTAGTCCACTAAACTCTGTAATCTTCAATTTAGAGTCCCATGGGTTGGTATGTTCTGTGGTATGTTTGTATGTAATGTTTCTGTTTTATGTGATGGCCCAGAGGTGTAGTATCATTTTTGCTAAATCAAAATGTTTGGCTGAATTGATCAGTCATTGGATGTATTTTGTTGACTTTCTGTTACTCTAACAGCTGAAGCCCTAGGGAGCACGGAGCCGAAAGCTGTCCCATATCAGAAATTTGAGGCACACCCCAGTGATCTCTATGTGGAGGGTCTGCCAGAGAACATTCCATTTAGGAGTCCATCCTGGTATGGAATCCCTCGGCTGGAAAAGATTATTCAAGTGGGCAACAGAATAAAATTTGTAATCAAAAGGTAGGTGAACATAGTACATAAACTGAAAAAAACAAGAAGAAAACGTCAGGACATTGACAGATTTGAAGCAAAAGAAAATATTTCTCTTTTATAATGTCATAAAGCATTCTGGGTTCTGGTACCAGGCAGACAGAAGATATTTCACATTACAAAGAAAATTGGCGTTCTCAATTTAGGCCACAATTTTCCTAAATATCTGTATTGCACCTAACTCAGGGGTGGGCAGTAATGTTTAATGGAGAGCCACTATAAGATTTTGGTAAGTGGTCAAGGACCACACTTTTCTATTAAGGGGGTGTGGAGTCTGGGACAATGGTTGGGTGCAGAAGGGACCTCGGGGTAGGGGACTGGGGTTCAGGAGAGGGTGTGGGTCTGAGAGGAAGTTTGGGTGAAGGAGGAAGTGTGATCTGGGGCAGGAGATTGAGGTGCAGGGTCAGGGACGGGAGGGGAGTATTCTGGCCTGGGAAGGGGTCATGGGAGGAGGTGCAGGTTCTGGGAGGGAGTTGTGAGCTGGAGAGGGGTGTACTGAGCAGTGGTGACCAGGGGCAGGAAGTTGAGGTGTGGGAGGGACTGGGCTGCCAGAGCCAGACTCTAGCCAAGAAGCACTTACCTAGACAGTTTCCAGCCAGCAGCCCTGCAGGACCCTGAGGCGGGCTTACTGCCTGCTGCAATTCTAGGTTGCTCAAAATGGCTGGCTGCTCCCTGTGGATGGTTGCTCTGGGCGCCAGGGAGAAAGTGAAGACTTTGTGCACTGCCCCTTCCCCAAGCACAATTTCTCAGCTCCTATTGGTCGGAAACAGCTTAACATGGGGCTGTTTCTGTGCCTTCTGGTCTTGGAGAGGCAGCATCTTGCCCACCCCAGCAGTGTTAAAATCAAATATAGATTCATAAAACAAAAAAATAGAGACACTATAGAACAATTTGATAACCTGCTCTCTAATTACAGGCCAGAACTACTAACTCTCAGTCCAACAGAAGTCACTCAACCAAGATCCAATACTCCAGGTAGGATCCATACTGTGTGCAATTTTCATCTATGTAGCCATATGCAGAATAGATACATGAAACACATTTTTCTGACCTCTGTGTGCAAGAGAAAAGTGGTACCAAATACAGTAAGAGGCCTTTTATCTGGCACCTCACCAACCAGCAAACTCAAGAAACAGATTTTCTGATCTGCACAGAAAGCCCAGTTTATAGTGCAGTTGGTGAGGGCTGCTGAGGTGTTGGAGGGGCTTTGGGGCGCCCTCTGAGAGGGCATTTGGGAAGGAACTCGGAGTGCTGGATAGGGGGAGGGGTACTTCCCTCCAGTGGCCCCATAAGTAGTTCCCTGTCCCTGCTGTTGCTGGCAGAGGCAAGGCCAGACAGATTTGCAGGCAGGCTGTCTGCATCTTCCCTCTGCAGCTCCTAGCCCTTTAGCTGGGAACCATGGCCAATGGAAGCTGCAGGGGATGGCCTCGAGGCAGCATACCTGCTTGCAGCAGAGCCACCTGGCTGTACCTATGCCAGGAACTTGTGGGTGTTGCTGGAGGTGAGTGTCTGCTCCAAACTCCCTCCAGTGGCCTGCGGTGTCGTCCCCCCCCCCCCCCCCCCCTTTCCGGTACATGCGTGCACACACCTGCACTCCAAACTCTTCCTTCTTGGCTGACATTTTTAATTTACTGGCACCTTCCGTTCTCCCAGAATGCCAGATAAAAGGTCTTTTACTGTATGTATTAATACAGAAGAGACTCTCTCTTTAAATTAATATATTTGTACTTGAAGGAATCTTCATGTTTAGGTAAATTAGAAATTAATCACAAGCTTTGTAAGAGAATGTGTTTGATATAAATATATTTTGACCAACAATTAACTCCCTTCCTCATTTTATTAAGTAGTAAATTTTAAGAACCTGTGAGGGAGGAATGTGGAGTTATTTAGAATGGAAAACCTATTTGGAGAATGATATCACTTTTTAAAGAAAATGAAATACACTAATACTTTTGATTGAGGGAATACTGGTGTGCTCTTCAGAGGGTTTATAAAAGATCAATAATATGGCTATCCTTGACGATAATGATCTGAAACATTATGGTTAGTGTCCAGCTAACCTCTGAGACTTTAGAAATTGAATCAGACTTAAAACTTTGGGAAATCATGAGAATTTCAAAGATCTGTTAGGGCCTAATCCAAAGCCCATGGAAGTTACTGGGCATATTTCCATACATTTCAGTGAGTCTTTGATCAGGCTCTTAGTCTCTTATGTTATCAAGATCATCTTCGAAAAGTGAGATGTGCCTTACTTTCTCCCAGAATGATTTTTTGAAAAAGCAAAGAGTAGTGAAGGAAAAGAACCCAGATGACTTTATACAGTCCAGAACTTGTTTCATATAAGAGGGTGAGTCCTCTAGTGGTTGTAGCACAGAAGTAGGAATCATACTCAATTTTAGTCTCAATTTCTCAATTCTAGTCTCAGCTTTGACACTGCCTTTAGGTAAGTGAAAGGTGACTTTGGGAGAGAAAAACATGAAGAAGAAAGAAAAGAATACCTCATGATAGATGGTCCTGTTGTTTATCACACAATTGGAAGGGACTCAAAATACTATGGAGATTTAGCCTGGAAAAAGAACCAGCATTAAAAGATTTCTCTAGCCTCCATTTACTTATCTCGGTGCATTATCTACCAAACAGTTGTCTTATGGCACTGAATTTATTTGAGAAACATATTGAGATGATCTGGTCGGAGGTGTATTATGTATGTGCCGTTTGGTACCTCGATCGCTTGAATGATCCTATTCCCTGACCTTGCCTCTGCCAGCAATAGCAGAGACGGGGACCACGTTAATGATAACTGTTCGATTTAGTTATAGGACTGTATTCACAATTTTTCACAGAACCAAAAAAAATGTTGGGTTTTAACTAAGCAGAGAATGCAGGATGCTTTTGCCTTCAAATGTTTGCAGTTCCGTAGTATCCTCCTCTTATCAAAGCATCTTGGGGATTTTTCTTGGCTTTCAGGGATAAGACTTGTATATAGAGATGGAGTAGCTCAGTGGAAATGTGAGTTGAAAGCTGCTCTGCAGACTTAGGCAGCATCTAATTTCATTCTTGCTGCCAAAACCCTTGCTTATTGTCCAACTGTACAATCAAACTGGCATTTGGCATGATAGCTGCAGCAATAAATGTGGACAATATCGGTGACAAAAGAAACTGCTTTAATAGCATTTTTACTCCTGGAAATACCACCATGCAGCAATCACCATTTAAAGAAAAGAAAAAAGCCTAAGAGAGCAATCCAGTAATGGAGCCATCCTGAAATATATTTTCCCATCATTGATATATATTATGCATATTTCATTTACCACTAATAAGCAGTACATGTGTAAATCCTCTTGTATGAAAATGTGACTGTGAATCCTAGAAAGCAAGGCTATTTTTGCATTGATAATTTAGATTCCTGAGCTTTGTCTACACCGTGCAAGGTTTTGCGCAAGAAGCTTTTTGCGGAAGATTTTCCGCAAAAACTTCTTGCACAAAAGCGCATCCAGACCTCAAAGCACATCGTAAAAGTTATGTGCTTTTGCACAAGAGAGTGTCCACATTGCATAGACACCCTTGTGCAAGAAAGTTCTGATTGCCATTCACAGAATGGCCATCAAAGCACCTGTCCGTTTTGTGATAGGCTCTTTTTCCGCAAGAAACCCTTGTTGAGCATCCACACACACCTTTTTGTGCAAGAACTCTTGGGCAGAAGAATAACTCTACCAGCAAAAGCCCTCTGTCCTGTCGATTTATGGCTGTTTTTACGCAGAAACCCTGTAGTAAAAGAAATATGCTTAGTAGTACCACTTTCGGGTAACTCAGTAACCCAGGATGCATCTGTTTTTGATTTTCAGTCAAAGAAGATTGGAATGTCAGAATCACAAAACTAAGGAAGCAAGTGGAAGAGATATTTAATCTGAAATTTGGTAAGTTAAGCCTTAAATAAACTATGTTGCAGTGCTACTCTGCTTTAAAAAAAACCTTCTATCTAAGGAGCATTGTGGTACACACTAAATTAAAACAAACATTTAAAAATGTAGCAGAACAGATCTGGGAATCTTGAGTTTTATTCCTCATTCTGCTAGTGACTTTGGGCAAGTCATATCAGCATTCTCTGTGCCTCCAGTTGTCTGAATTTGCATGAATAGTATTTGTGCACATTTATAAAGGGCTTTGAGATCCTTGTGTGAAAAGAGCTCTTATAAAACAGTATCAGAAACTGCGGATCTAGATTGATTGTTATTGAAAGAACCTACGTAGTAAGATTCACAAAATCACTACATGTAGTGATTCCCAACTGTGGAATGGTGGTGGGAAAATAGTTTTAAATTCCTCTCCTTATCCTTTTCTGAATAGATGTGCTACTTCCCCTATAACTAATAAAAATGTCAGCCTTACGAAGAACAGTTGAAATAACATGCCTCCCATCTGAGCTTGTCACATCTTTATTTTTAGCCCAAGCATTGGGGCTTTCTGAAGCAGTGAAGGTTCCGTACCCTGTATTTGAATCAAACCCTGAGTACTTGTATGTGGAAGGCTTGCCTGAAGGAATCCCCTTCCGGAGTCCTACATGGTTTGGAATTCCACGACTTGAAAGAATTGTCCGTGGCAGTGGCAAAATCAAATTTATTGTTAAAAAGTAAGTTTACAATTTCAGTATTTTGTAACTGATGATTTCTAAAATTATATGAATCTTTTTCTGAGGCTTTTGGGTTTTTAGATGCAGCCTAATGTCTCTTATGGATAAAGTGGCAATTCACTTTCTCTTATAAAAGGACATGCCTTCCTGGTTAAATTTCATAAAATGAGGTGTATATGCATAATTGGTGTGTATCGTGCAACGTGTACCTAGAGGAGATAATAGTTCTGTATCTTGAAGCATTTTTCCAGCCAAACAAAAATCAAGGTAATTAGCCTTAGGTTTTTGAACTCTTTCCTATTACTTTACATGGAGTCTCCCATACTTCCATGACCTAAAAGATTGTTGCAGTGACTTTACATAAATTTTTCTGAATCCCAATAACTATGTAAATAACTCCCTGTACTACTTTTGCATCTGTAATTTATTAGACTGCATTCTGTAACCTATTTTACATTTTTAGGCCAGAGCTTGTTACTTCTTATTTGCCTGCTGGATTGGCTAGCAAAGTTAACACTAAAGGTAAGTGGTGAAACATTACATATTGCCCTCAATTCAGAGGCCCAGATTCCACTTCCCTTACTAGGCCGAGTAGCAGCTTGGTGCTTGAAAATAGTACAGGCTCCTGACCAAAAACGGGTGCTACCTAACATGGGCAATGGTGGTACAATCTGGCCTAAATGATTTTCCTAAAAATATAAAACCTATATTCTTATAAAACATTGGGATATGTAGCAGAAGTCAGATGTGAGTATCTGCTTAAGAGCACACCAATTAAGTATACAATTCATTTATTTTATGACTGGAACAATACAAATCTGGAGGTGTAAACTACAGAAATTACTAAGGTCCATAGATTTTCTATTAATAAAGTATCTAAACTGGATCTTTGTATATTTAAAAGAAATTAGAAAATCAGTTTCTTATAGAAACTGTCAAGTCACTTACAAAATAAAGATCTTTATAACTATAAGTTTGAATTAACTTTTTGGATTTAGAGAACACACGAACCAAAAACGTAAATTCCACTTAAAACCAATAGTGCTGACGATCTTATCTGTATTTATCTTGTGTGGTGCTCACTAATGTAGTAAATATTGAATTAGCATCTATTGGACCTACTTCACATGTATTAAATTCTCTTCTTAAAGTATGGGATCTTACCTGTGTGGTTGGGCTTTCTAAATCACACCATTAAATACAGATTGTGTCAGATTATTTTATTTGTGGGATGTATCCAAGTACTGCCATTTGGCAGCTGCGCATTACGTCTGTTATTGAAGAGTAATAGTATTGTTGATTTGTAGCACTGAGTCCAAAGAGTTCAAAGAGAGCAAGAAGTCCTGCAAGCAATTCAAAGGTCCCAGAGATTGAGGTGACTGTTGAAGAAGGTAGGAAATCTTCCTTTAGGGAATATTCTTATTACAGTAAATTGCAGTAGTAACGGCAGAAGATTTTTCATACACAGTACAATTATATTATTTTTAAAAGCTTCTCTAAGTTTTGCCCCATGTAGAAAACTTAATTTAACTTCAGTTCTATTTTTCATTTCTGATTAACATTGTCAGTTATAAGAAGAATGATGCCTCTCTCAGGGCTTGTTTCGTTACACGTTTGGATCTTTCATTCCAAAGTGGGAAATGAGAATTTCTTCTTTGAGTATTGTCTGCGTGGGTGCTCCACTCTGGGTGCTGGTTCATCCTCACTCTGGCGACAGGAGACTTTAGTGTCCACTGAGCACGTGCTGTGGTGCCCCTCGTGCTGTTAGTGTCTGTTAGGCATGCAGCGTAGCTCCCTCAGTTCCTTCTCTACCATCCTCTGCAGCAGACAAAACTTCTTTCCTTCCCACTGTCTCTACAGAAAAATGACAAAAACTATTATTTCCTCTTAGTTTCCTCACATTTCCAAGTTTTAAGATGGCCCACCAGACCCTATTTTAAAAAAAATATTTATTTCCGTCGTCATCGGCCCGCCGCTTCTCACCGTGCCTAATGCCCGGATCTCCCAGCTTCAAGAGGTATGAGTTGTGCTGGGATGCTATTCCCATCTCTGACAAGCATTCTGCATGCATCAAGTGCCTTGGAGAAACTCACCAGACACAAAAGTGTTCTTATTGCTCCAGATTGATGGCCAGAGCATGCGGTGACCACGCTAACATGCTAAAAACCTTCCTCTCTGAAAGGTTGCTCCAACCACCTTCTGAGGACACACCACCTGCCTCTAAGTCAACTTCTGAGTCGAAAGGTATGGACAAAACACATCCCTCTGCCTCTTCTGGCAAATCTCTCTCAAAAACTAGACTCTCTCCAACCCAATCCTTACCCTTGGCACCAACAGCCTCGAGAGTCAGCACCACGGACAGGCCTGGCACGTTGAACACGGCACCACCCAAGGTGCTGGCACTGCATAAGAGGGCACACTCGGAGCCCAAACAAAAACAAGCGGCACTCGCCGCACCATTGAGCCTACATGAACAACGCTTGGCACCGAAGCCACCAACTCAGTCGACACCAGCCTCAGCACCCAAGAGACCCCATACCGATATACTGCCTGCTGACCAATCAGTGCCGCCAGCAGTGATCTACCTCTTGCAGTGGTTTTCCTTCAATTCCTGACTGTCGTTAATGCGCATCAACTTGTTCTTCTCTTGACTAATCTTGAGGCCCACTCGCTCGGCTGTTTCCTGTAGGGCGTCTGCCTTCTCTTGCATATGCTCTAATTTGTCTGCAAGCAGGGCTAAGTCATCTGCAAACTCTAGATCTTCAAGCTTCCTAGTTTGAGTCCATTGGAGACCCCTTCCTGAGTCAGCATATGCTGTTTTTGTGACCCAGTCTGTTTTTGTGACCCCCGCAATTGGATCACTACCTAGATGTGGTGGGGGGCTTGCGTGTCTCAAGGACCCTCAGAGCTATGCCGACGGGAGCTTACTGCTCCTAGTAGGGCCACCCAAGCCAGACAGGTAGAGACCAGACAAAAAGCGATTCCCTGGTCCTCCAGTTTGGGGGTTGGGCGATGGGCTAACAACTCATCCCCATTAAAAAAAAACTTTAACTGCAGAGGGAGTCTGGAGCTTAATGAAGGCCAGGTCACAACAGGTGTATGCCAAGGCTGCCTTCTTTCACCATTACTCTTCCTGACCCTAATGGCGGACCACCCTTCCCCTCCCCCCCCATACAATTTTCAGCAAGGACAGAGTGATACTTTGGCCCCATCCCAAATTTCTCCTGAAAGTTCCCTCTCCCTTCCACATCAACAAACCCAATACACTTACCTGCATTTTTCCCCAAGCACACTGATCCATCACATGCAGCATGGCACACCATGGATATCTGTAGAGTGCTCACGTTCTCCATTGATCGTACTACAGCTTGGAGAATCTCTCCTAGACTCTTTTTATCCTTTGCGGAATGATCTAAGGGACAGGTTGTCTCTTCTCAGAGGATCGTCAAGTGGATCTCTTCATGCATCCACACATGCTACACCATCCACAATAAAGAACCACCTGGCACTATCACTGCCCATTCTACCAGGGCCATGTCCTCTACAACCACTTTCCTCAAAAATGTTCCTCTCCAGGACATTTGCAACGCAGCCACTTGGTCATCAGACCACACATTTGCACAACATTACACGCTGGCATCCTCCATCACATCATCCATGGCTGTCGGACAAGCAGCAGCCTCGGTGACAACGACAGGACTCCAAACCCATCTCTACGAGCTGACTACTGCTGTATAGTTACCCAGAGTGGAGCACCCACGGGGACACTACTTGAAGAAGAAGGAGTTACTCACCTTGTGCAGTAGCGGTGGTTCTTCGAGATGTGTGTCCCCATGGGTGCTCCACTATCCTCCCTTCTTCCCCTGCTTTGGAGCCCTGCACTGTACTAGCACGGGTAGAGAAAGAATGGAGGCAGCCACACCGTGTGCGCACCTAATGAACACTAACAGCACAAGGGGGCGCCACAGTGCGTGCACGGCAGACACTGCTAGAAAAATCCCCGGTCGCTGGTGCGAGGATGCACTAGCTCTGAGTGGAGCATCCCTGGGGCACATCTTGAAGAACCACCATTACTGCACAAGGTAACTCTTTCTTATTTTAAGGCACATAATAGGGAAGAGTGAACAGTGACTAAATTGGTGCTAAAGTATGTTATGTTTAATTCCACAATCCTTAAATCACTCCTAAACAGCATTTTTGTTCCACTGTTGACTGTTGGCTTTAATTAGTGATTAGTTGCCATATTTCATAATTTTTGTTTCTCACATAAGGTGGTTATTTGTATGCTATATCTCACTTTTATATATTAACTCTCTCTCTATATATATATCTGTTTATTTTTGCAGGTCCTAATAAACCGCAAACAACAGATGTTCGAACTAATTCTCAAACCAATGGGTCCAATATGGGCTTCAAGCCACGAGGAAGAGAATTTTCTTTTGGTAAATACTGTGGAATTTCATCTGCCTTGATATTCTTCATTAATTTTGATATTTGAAAGTTTGAGACTTTGTAATAAAGGGTTTTATTTTTAACAGTGATACCTTCATTCTGCATGTGGTGACTGAGTCAGATGCTTTGAGTTTGCAAATAATAGGCTAGCTTAACCTTTTGAGTTTATGATCACCTATCTGAAGTTCACAGTGGTCATGGAAGAACAGTTTTCTCTCTCTCTCAATGGTTTCTTGCCATTAGAAGACATATTTTGGGCTGAATCATGTGTAGGAATTTTAGCTTTTCCTCCTTGTTGTGCCCTGTGCAGGGTTATCAACATGACACACCTGAATAGCCATACTGCAGGTGTCCCATGGTATGGACCTGGTCAGGGGAGGAGGAAGTGGCTCTACTTACTGCTACTCACCTTCCCTCCCCCCAGCTAGGGGTATGGCAGTGCAACAGCATGCTTCTATTGAGGCTTTTTCTTGCTGTTACCAAAGCAGCGGGGGGGTGCAGAGTCGTGTGCCCCCAAGAGTGGGGTGCCAGGTAAAGCGGCCCCCCACCCAAGCCCTGCAATGCCCTTGCTGCCAGCAAATTCTTTAATCCAGCATACCCTGTTTCCCAGGGTTGTTAGGTTAAAGAGATTCAAGTATAATTACAAAATGTAAAAACCTTTCATTTTGCTCAGTACAAGTTTAGACTGGAGTTAGAAGGGTTAGTATTGATTCGGGATAAACATCTATCCTGACGTGAAACTATAGGTTGAACCTCTCTGGTCTGGCAACATCTGTGGTTTGGCATGATTTTAGTTAGCCGGATGTCCTCTCATCATGAGTATAGCCAAGTTTCCCACAGTCCCATAAAGTTGGTTTACAGCAAGGGCAGGGAACCTTTTTTTGGGTTGGGAGCTGCTGACCTACAGAAAAATCAGTTGGGGGCTGCATACAAGTGAGAAGCAAAAAAAAAAAAAAAAAAAAAACCCCAACCCCCACCCCTCACTGACATGGCCTCTGACAGAGAAGCAGAAAGACACTCTCCACATTCCCCTTGCACACCAGAGCCTAGAGGGGTCCAGGCTAGTAGATTGTGTGCGCTCCAGCCCTGTGGAGGGAAAGCAGGGGATGGAGTGCCAGCATGGGCTCCCCAATGCTGCGGGGAGAGCCCTAAGCAAGTCTGGGGCTGCATCTGGCCCCTGGACCTTAGATTCCCCACCCCTGGTTTACAGTCACCAGTCTTGACTCAGTGTTCTGTGCTGCTATTTAGCTCTAATCTTATTCCAAAATGACTTCTAAGAGCCCAGTAAGCAGTGGAAGTGTTAGCAATGTTGCTAGACAATATTGACCTCCCATGGTCCGGCAAATTTTCTGGTTCAGCCTTAGTCTGGTCCCAAGAGTGCCAGACTAAAGAGGTTAAACCTGTAGTATCATTGAGATTTCATTTCTCAAGGAAGTAGCACATCTGTCTGGCCTTTTCCAAGCTTTGGGTGCTGGCTCGGATTGTCATTGTGTGCCTCTGATCGGATTCATTACAGTTGGCTCTTCTGTTTGTTCATTGGCTGAGATCTGTTGTGCTCCCAGAAGAACCTGACTAGTGGATATGAGTTTAGGATTAGAGGGAATTGGTTCACTGCTGCTCAGAGCAGGATGGTCATTTTGTTCATTTTTGACGTCCCATTAATTGGTAAATTAATGTGGTAAATTGTTTTTTTTAAATATAAATATGCAAGTCCTAGAGTGATCTTTTTAAAAAAATGTTTTTTCTCTATACAAATGTTGGTCTAATTCTTCTCATTTCCTGACAGAGGCTTGGAATGCCAAAATTACTGACCTGAAACAAAAAGTTGAAAATCTTTTTAATGAAAAATGTGGTAAGCATGTACCTTTTAGTATATGATAAATGTACCTTTTGAGTACTTGATGGGGTTACTCATTTAGGCATGTATCTTATGCTTCATGATGGTTTTCATAAGCACATTCTGAAAGGCTGTAATAGTTTTGCAAACTCTGGGCCCTGTTACTTCCTATGAGGCTGATCCTCACATTGCGGACTCGAAATTCCAGTTCCCCCTACATTTTCCATGTAAGCCTGGGAATGGAGGAGTGGTGCAGGCATCAAGTAGAGGTTTGGCTTCAAAAATTCACAGACATCCTGTGGTCCATCAGATACTCATTAGTTCTATATTGCCACGTGCCTCCTGGTAGTTCATCTGGACAATGTGACTGAAAGAGGTGCTGTGCTGTCAGAGATTCAGACACTCTCTCAGGAAGAGATACTTGCTTGATTTATTGCTGACTTGAGATTTTTCCCCTTGTGTGAATGTGAAAGGGGTTGGAGGAGCATGACTGACTTTTTCTCACCAACAGTGCTGGAAATCCTTCAGGATTTTTTTGGGGGTAATTGACATGCTCTTTTTCATTTTAGGGGAAGCTCTGGGGCTTAAAGATCCTGTCAAGGTCCCGTTTGCATTATTTGAATCCTACCCAGAGGATTTCTATGTGGAAGGACTGCCAGAGGGAGTGCCATTCCGCCGACCATCCACTTTTGGCATTCCAAGACTGGAGAAGATCCTGCGAAACAAATCTAAGATAAAATTTATCATAAAAAAGTAAGAGGACAGTGTGTGCCAGTGAGAATGAGCTGCAGAGCTCAACCAAGTCAAGCCCTGAAAACTGCTAGATTCCTTCACTAACTATACTAGAATATATACTGGAATGTCAGGCAAACCAGGCAGAGCCAGAGGGTTTTTCAGATCGGGGGAATTACACATTAACAGTTTTCTGTGCTGAATTAAGGATGTTAAATTGCATTTAATCCATTAATTGAGTAGTCGATGGAATTTCCATCAATTAGTCAATAAGTGGGGGAAACTGCAGAGCTGCAGCAGGGTTAGCTCCCACCCCAGGAGCTAACCCTGCTGTGGCTCTGCTTTTTACGTATCGTAAGAGCTGCCTGGCTCTTACTACAATTAAAAAGCAGAAGTGTAGTGTCTGGGACTGGACATGAGCTGGGACAGCAGAGTCCCAGCTTGCACCCGGTCCCTCGCTGCACCTCTGCCTCCCCAGGTCTCTCCTTGGGCAGAGATGGTGCTGGGGGAACCAGCTTTTAAGCTGGCTCCCCTCAGCACTGGCTCCTGCTTTCCCCCCACGGTCAGGGAGTAGCAACTAGTTGAATAGTGACTTGACTACCTGATAAGCCTAGGATTGTCAGGTAGTCGACTACTCAATTAGTCACTTACATCCCTGTGTTGAATGCTCCTGAAAGCCTGCTTAATGGGAAGCAGTGATATTTCTGGGCTTATTGTAATGGTGGCGTTGCTTTTTCCCTTTAATGCGAGTGGCAAGCTTTGCAGTTAATATTTAAGGCCCTATCAAATTCATGGTCCATTATGGCTAATTTCAAGGCCATAGACCAGGGGTGGGGAACCTAAGACCCAGGGGCCAGATACAGCCCCTGGCTTTCCTGGATCTGGCCCCTGAGGCTTGGGGCTCCCCCAGCATTGGCGAGTCCTCACGTGTGTGCAGCCCCTGACTGATTTTTCTGTGGGTCAGTTGTCCCTTACCCAAAAAAGGTTCCCTAATCCCACTTTAGGATTTGAAAATTGGTACATTTCACATTTTCAGCAGTTTTAAACCTGATATTCCACAGTATTGTAACTATGGAGTCCTGACGCAAAAGGAGACTGTGGGGTGGAGTCACAATCCTATTGTAGGGTGGTCATGGGATCGCCACCCTCATTTCTGTGCTGCATTCTGAAGGGAGAATCTGCAGAGCTTCCTGCAGTCACAGGAGGCTCCAACAGGTAGAAGTGGGTCTGATCTCCCCTGTACTGCTGGTAACAGCCTAGACGGGGGCGCTTCACTGCCCTGAATTGCTTGGTAGCGATACTACTTGGTCTCTCTTTACATAGCTTCAGAAAGCACTTCACCACCTGTCCCACACGCAGCTGCAGGAACCTCAGGCTGTTGCCCAATGCCAGATGGCATCCTGCAGCAGGAGGAGACACCCAGAGGTCCATCTGTGGTCTCTTCTCACCCCCCAACAGCTATGCAGGAGATGGACAAGTCCTGTCCTTCCACTGCCCACTCAGAGCTAGGATGTCCCCTTTGATGCACTCCCTGCAGCATAGGGAAGATACAATCCAGCTCCACAAGTTTCCTCTAGCTGCAGGAAACTCAAGCTGCTGCCCACTCCCAGGCAGCATCCTACAGTAGGGGCAAGCACCCAGAGGTGGGTATGGTCTCCTACTCTTCTCCCCCCCCCCCTTCCCTCCAATAGAGCAGTTTGCAGGGGGAGGACAAGTCCTTCCTTCCCCTGTGCAATCAGAGCTGAGAAGCCTCCTTTGATGGGGTGCTTCTAGGAACAAGGAGACCCTTAATTTCACAGAGAAGGGCTTATTTCAAGATCTGACAATGCCCTTTTTATGGCAATGAAATCGGTAGGGTCCTGTTAATAATCATTTGTAGCTAAAAGGTCACCAACACTGCAGCAAGGAGTAAGGATCTTAAATCAAGCTTTTAATGGATTACAAAAACTTTGCATTCAAAATAACTGCAAGAATCTGTGCACAAATATAGGAACAAGGGTTTGATATGGAATTTTGCAAGTTTAACTGTTGCAACCTTTTTTGACTACTTGGGCAAGAGCTGCTGTGTTTATATTGCTGTCCTTAAAGTAGAAACGTTAGGGTGTTAGGGATTTGATAGCTGTGCTGTGGTGAAAGTAGACAACTAAGCTGCTCAGTATTCTTATTAACTGTATGTGTAACAGCCTGACTAGCATTATTATACTAACTTTGCTCTCCCTCTCTTGACTGCTCAGTTTTGACAGCTAGTACTTTCTTTGCTGTTGGAAGGAAATGACAGATTAAGTGTAACATTCCTGTTCTATATAAAATGTTCAAATCTGTTCATCTGCAGGCCTGAGATGTTCGAGGCGGCGATTAAAGAAAGTTCTGCTAAAAGTCCCCAGAGTAAGTTTTATGATGGCTAAGGAGCTTGGATGATGATTTGTCTTGTGCTACTTTCAAAGATTATACCACTTCAGGAACTTGCCCAGTGGAAACCAAGTTGTGAAAACTTCATGATATGTTCACTAGAAAGTCTTACCCAAATAGAAATCAAGCCCACGTATAACCATGGTGCATCGCTGTAATAAAAAAAATGTTCCTACACTGAAGAGCTGTAAAGCTATTCTTTTTTACGTCTGTCTAGTTCTTCTACTCAGCAATTCAGCTTCAATAATGGCTTTTTTGTAGTCAATTTTGTATTATCTAGCATACCTAGGGCCTCTGATCCCCTTGCATTGGCTGTTACAATCCTTCCTTCAAAGCAGTAGGAAGATGTGGCTCATCTAAAGCTTTATAGTGCTGAAAATGCACCCTCTGAAATGGAAGGAGCCATTTTGCCTCAGCTCCAACCTGTAATGCAATCTTGACAAGAGAGCAAAATGGAGAGAGCGGTAAAGTTCCTGTATCAATCATATGAAAAGGATACTGGTTAATGTTGGGTTTCTGAGATGTATTCATTGGGCCTGATGCTCCTCTCAGTGGTTCAACTCGGAGGTAACTCCACTGAAGTTGGTGAAATTACACCAGTGTAAAGGTAATATCAGTGAGAGGAGGCTCAGGAACAAAACCTATTGGACCAGACCTTCAGTTGTTGTAAATAGACATTGGAAATCTTTTATAGTTGATTTCTAGGGGGGAAGCTGTTTTAACAAATAGAGAGGAACTGATTGAGAATTTGAAAGTGGAAGGCAGCTTGGGCGAAAGTGATCATGAAATCAGAGAGTTCATGATTCTAAGGAATGGTAGAAGGGAGAACAGCAAAATAGAGACCATGGATTTCAGGAAGGTAGATTTTGGTAAACTCCGAGCTTGTAGGTAAGGCCCCAAGGGAAGCAAGACTAAGAGGAAAAACAACTGAAGAGAGTTGGCAGATTTCAAAGGGAAATTATTAATGGCCCAAAAGCAATCTATTCCACTGCATAGGAAAGATAGACAGTATGGCTTGGCTTAACCAGGAGGTCTTGCATAATCTCAAAATCAAAAAGGAGTCACATGAAAAGTGGAAACTAAGACATACTACAAAGTATGAATATAAGCAAACAATACAGATATGCAGGGGCAAGATTAGAAAGGCAAAGGCACAAAATGAGCTCAAACTAGCGAGAAACATAAAGGGTAACAAGCAGACACTCTATAAATATATTAGAAGCAAGAGGAAGACCAAGGACAGGGTAGGCCCACTGCTCAGTGAGGAGGGAGAAACAATAACAGGAAACTTGGAAATGGCAGAGGTGCATAATGACTTCTTTGTTTCGGTCTTCAACAAGAAGTCTGATGATGAAGGAATGGCTAATACAGTGAATGCTAGTGGAAATGGGATAGGTTTAGAAGATAAAATAAAAAAGAACAAGTTTAAAAATTACTTAGAAAAGTTATGTGTACAAGTCACCAGGGCCTGATGAAATGCATCCTAGAATACTCAAGGAGCTGATAGAGGAGGTATCTGAACCTTTAGCTATCATCTTTGAAAAATTATGAAAGACAGCAGAGATTCCAGAAGACTGGGAAAGGGCAAATATAGTGCCCATCTATAAAAAGCGAAATAAGAACAACCCAAGAAACTACAAACCAGTCAGTTTAACTTCTATGCCAGGAAAGATAATGGAGCAAGTAATTAAGGAATTCATCTGCAAACATATGGAAGAAAATAAAGTGATAGGTAACAGCCAGCATAGATTTGTAAAGAACAAATCATGTCAAACCAATCTGATAGCTTTCCTTGATAGGATAACATGTCTTCTGGATAAGGGAGAAGCAGTGCACGTGGTATACCTACACTTCTATAAGACTTTTGATACGGTCTCGCATGATCTTTTCATCAATAAACTAGGAAAATACAACTTAGATGGGGCTACTAAAAGGTGGGTGCATAACTGGCTGGATAACCATTCTCAGAGATTAGTTAACAGCGGTTCACAATCATGTTGGAAGGTCATAACAAGCGGCGTTCCGCAGCAGTCTGTTTTGGGACTGGTTCTGTTCAATAAATATCTTCATCAACAATTTAGACATTGGCATAGAGAGTATGCTTATAAAGTTTGCAGATGATACCAAGCTGGCAGAGGTTTCATCTGCTTTGGAGGATGGGGTCATAATTCAAAATGATCTGGACTAACTGGAGAAATGGTCTGAGATAAATAGGATGAAGTTTAATAAGGACAAATGCAAAGAATTCCACTTAGGAAGGAACAATCCATTTCACACATACAGAATGGGAAGCGACTGTCTAGGAAAGAGTACTGCAGAAAGGGATCTAGGGGTCATAGTGGACCGTGAGCTAAATATGAGTCAAAGTGTGACGCTGTTGCAAAAAAAGCAAATGTGATTCTGGGATGCATTAACAGGTGTGTTGTGAGCAAGACATGAGAAGTCATTCTTCCATTCTACTCTGCACTGATTAGGCCTCAGTTGGAGTATTGTGTCCAGTTTCTGGGCACCACATTTCAAGAAAGATTTGGAGAAGGTCCAGAGAAGAGAAACAAGAATGATTAAAGGTCTAGAGAACATGAGCTATGAGGGAAGACTGAAAGAATTGGGCTTGTTTAGTTTAGAAAAGAGAAGACTGAGGGGGGACATGATAGCGGTTTTCAAGTACCGAAAAGAATGCTACAAGGGGGAGAGAGGAAAATTGTTCTCCTTGGCCTCTGAGTATAGGACAAGGAAAACTGCAGCAAGGGAGGTTTAGGTTGGACATTAGGAAAAACTTCCTGCCTGTCAGAATGGTGAACCACTGGAATAAATTGCCTAGAGAGGTTATGAAATCTCCATCTCTGGAAATATTTCAGAGCAGGTTAGATAGACATCCATCAGGGATGGTCTAGAGACGGTGCTTGGTCCTGCTGTGAGGGCAGGGGACGGGTCTTGGTGACCTTTCGAGGTCCTTTCCAGTTCTGGTTTTCTAGGATTCTATGTGGGTGACAATTTAATATTCTACCATTTGTTCTAGTGACTTAACTAGTGTTACTAAAAGTTGAGTGTTCTGGTTTATTGCTTTGACTAAACATGAAAATACCCACGCATTTTTTTTTTAAATAAATTCTCATTGGAAAATTGCTCAGCAAAGAAAAACTAGGACCTTGTAACATAAATGAACTCTTTCTCCTCTTGACTTCAGTAGTTAGTAAGAAATAGTTGAAGGATAAACTTTGAGATGTGAAGTCCCATTTTTAATAATGAATTAAGCACTTTAAAGTCTAAGTGTCATTGATAGTCAAGGGACTTAAGCATTTAGACTAAGTGCTTTTGGAAAACAAAACTTGGACATTTAAACTTTTTTTTAACAGCAAATCTGTGTTTCTCCCCCAGTGTTGGTTTTTTTAAAATAAATATATATATACTGGAATGATGTCAGCTCATCTTCAGCCATTTTTCTCCTAATTTAAATGTCTGTTTCTGTTTAAGGAAAAACCAGTTCATCCAATACATCAAATACACCAAGCACCACAACAAAACCAGTGGTGAACACAGCTGCAGGTGTTGAAGATCTTAACATCATTCAAGTGACTATACCAGGTATTTGAACACTCTGATTTTTTTTGCTTGCTTACTGGTTATAGCTCTCACTCTTCATGACAGGAGCTCTTTGCCTAATATACTACTGTACTCTCCCTCCATCCTGGTTTGCCCTTTGGCTCAAAGAGTAACCAGGAATAGCTTCTTTTCAGTGACCTTTGCTTACACCGTTGTCACGCTGATTATTTTTTTAAACTTTTATGATTGTGGATTACTTAGTGAAATGTGAAAAAGAATAAATCTCCGTTCAGGTCACATGTGCTTTCTTCCTCTACCCCATCATATGCTAAATTAAGCATTAACTTGCAACCCTGTTGCCAGTCTCAATAGACAGAATTAGGGTTAAATGATCATGGAAGTTCTCTTCTGTAGAAGTGGTCACTTTAGCTCAAGGATAAATTACACGGGTTAGGCAGTGTGGGAAAACTTGCACTGTGGCTAAATAGAGGATTTCAGTCTCAAGTCTGACAATTTTGCTACATTTACTAAAAATGAATTGTGGTTTGTAAATAGTGGCTTGAGTCAATAAATGTTACCTTTTAATCTAATATTGTCCTGCAAATATTTTGAAATAATTTTCAGGCATACTTACATCCTTAAAATGGCAACTTTTTATAGTTTTCATATTTAAAAACTCCTCCATTACTGCTAAAAAAAGTGAAAAGGCCTCTTTTTGTTCACTTTAGTCAATGCTGAATAAAGCAAACATCTGTGCTTGTTTTAAATAAATACTTTTGCAGAACTGCATTAGTTTAAGAAGAAAATCACCTGCTGACCTAGGTGTGGGGAGCTTAAGGCCTCCCTCCTGGGTGGGGGAGGAGGGGAGAACTAGAGCCCCCTCCGCCCCCTCGGCCAACACCCTATCCCATAGGCCACACCAGAACCCACCCCACCACCTCACTTTCTGGTCGTCCCTTATCCCACCTTCCACTGGGGGGGCCTGATTACCTGGCCCTTGAGTTACCTGGATCTTGCCCCGGAGGCTTAGGGCCTCCCCCAGTATCAGGGAGCCCACACTAGTACTGAAGTCCCTCTGCCACCTCCCTGCAGCTGCTGGCCCCTAACTGATTTTTCTGTGGGTCAGTGGCCCCCAGCCTAAAAAAGCACTCCTGTGTTAAACCCTGACACTAATAATTTCTTTCAGATGATGAAAATGAAAGATTATCCAAAGTAGAAAAGGCTCGACAGCTGAGAGAACAAGTAAATGACCTCTTCAGCCGGAAGTTTGGTAACTGCTTTTATTTCTGAGTTGAAATAGCTTTGAAAGTAACCACTGTCTTTTAATTTCGTTTTAAATAAGGATAACTTACAGGGTATAATATCCATTACAATTGACGTTTTGGTACTGTGTATATAACCAGTAAGTAACTTTTTAATCTAATTTATAGGCATCAGCTTCTACAGAAATCTAGTTTGAGGGCTAAATTGTTTTGTTTTTAAATAGAAATCCCTGTGATTATAGATTATACATGATGTGCAGTATTCAGGAGAGTGAGTATGTATCTACACACGAGCAAAATAAATACTTCATGTGTAAACCCAGAATCTACTTAAAGCTGCATAGTCCTGATCAGTTAACACTTTAAAATATTAAAGCTGAAAAAAATCTTTTGCGTTTTATTTACCCTTTCACAGTTGCATGTTTCTCTACTTTTTATGCTACATTCAGCTTGAACGATGAAATCTGCCTACTTGGTTTCTTTCTGTTGATCATTCACTAGCATTGGGTTGCGTTGCTGTCATTATGAGGGGGATCTTTTTCCTTTCATGAAAATGTGTATCATTTCCTGTGTGCGTGTTTTTTTAATAAAACCTAATTTTTAGTCCTTTTTATATAGAGCTGTAATACTTGGACACTGGTGAATCTCGTGAGCCATAACCTTCATGATTGTAGCCTGGTGCACTGATCATTTGGAAGCTACCCAATATAATGTTTTAAATGGCAAGTGCACTTAAAGGTTATAGCACTTGAGATTATTTTAAATGCTTGTTTTCACATCACTTTGTTCTTATTTCACTTAATTTGTAAACGGAGATTTGCATATGTGGGTCACAGTTCAACTCACAACGTCTTTTATTTAGGTGAAGCAATTGGTATGGGTTTCCCTGTGAAAGTCCCATACAGAAAAATCACCATAAATCCTGGGTGCGTGGTGGTGGATGGAATGCCTCCTGGAGTGGCATTTAAAGCTCCCAGTTATCTAGAAATCAGCTCCATGAGGAGGATTTTGGAATCAGCAGAGTTTATCAAATTTACTGTCATTCGGTATGTGACTCTCATTTTACTGACATTAGTTACATTATATAACCAATGTTGATTCAGCTGTCATGGGAATAGCCAATACGTTTGGAAAAATCAATGTCCAAAAATGGAAGGAATCTTCAATATAATAAATGTGGGGCGGTGTTAACTATATTGACTAACAATCAGTTGTAGTTATTTTAAATTCAAGTAATTGAGGGTGCACATCATTAACATGAAAATTCTCACGCGGCTCCGCTCCCCACTCCCTGGTACTGACAGCTCCCTCTTCGGTCCCAGACCCTTGTTTTGACTCCTGCACTACTACTCCTCCCCCCCATCAACCCCTCCTGCCCTGAGCCCTCACACAAACCTCCATCCTCTTCCTGGAACACTTCATACACCCCTGCCCTGACCGTGCTCTCTCTAAGCTGCTTGGTACCCCAGCTGCTTCTTGAGCCCCACCCAGCCCAGAGCTCAGGACTCGCACATGGAGCTTTGCTGGGAGAGACTCGCTGCTCTGTCCTCAGCAGGGGTCTGCTTCTGTCGCTGAGGGAGACGTGCCTCTGCCCCCTCTGCCCCCAGCCAGGGAGCTTCGTGCATGAGTCAGGAGCCCCTGGCTAGGCAGAGCTCATTAAGCAGCTGCGAGACTGTGTTGCCACACAGCTTAGAGGGAAACTTGGCACCCCTTTGAGGGGGAGGGGTGTTGATAGGACGGTACCTGTAAGAAATGTATGTTTCTTTCACCCCTGCTCGTAATGGTAAATTGTATGTATGTAATCATTTAAATTTCCAGATCAGCATGGCTATGTTTTAAAAGTTGTACACAACAACCTGAAGTTTAAGATTTTTAGTTTCTGTTTTGCCTAATGTTCTTGAGACTGTTCCTCTTAAAATCTAGTTCAGGTACTATTTTTGATAAAATATGATAATTACCCTGGAAGTTAATTTAATCAAGAATTAAATGCATTTGCTTATACAGTTAAATAAATTAGATTTTGGAATTTATACATCAGGAGTGTGAAACCTTTTTCAGTCAGAAGCCATTGAGCCACAGAAAAATCAGTCTGGGGCCTACACACAAGCAAAAAAACCAAACCCCAACAATCCCACCCCTCAGTCACACACAACTCAGAACACAACACCTTCAGTCTCAAAGGGAGGTGTCAAGACTCGGGGTTTGCAGTGCAGAGACTTTCCGCAGGCCAGATCAAATGCAGCTGGGGGCCAGATCTGGCTCAGAAGCCATACATTTCCCACCTGTTCTAGATGATGAATCAAGAAAGTGAAAATATAAACACTTAGATTCTATTACAAGGGATCAAATCCAGCAGTTCTACTAGTTAGAAATTAGTTTCTAAAAAGTCAGTTTAGTGAGGTCTAGATTTTGCAGCCCTTAATTGAGATTGATTCTGAGCTCAAGAGTCTTGATCAATATAAGAACCTGCAGCATTAGGGCCCATTTGAAGATTAGATTGTCCTGGCAACTGACTGAAAGAAGGACTTGTACCTTCTTGTAGATGTAAAAGAGATGGAGACTGCTTCATAAACCACTCCCCTGTGGGCGCAACTGTGCCAAAATATTCCAGTCCCTCCCTTTAATTTGTGTTCCATTATGAGCCCTCAGGTGAGGCCCTCCATAAGAGGGAAAGATTGTACATAAGAGTGATCTTTAGAAACATTAAATATTATGCTCTTTTTTAACAGCCCATTTCCAGGACTTGTGATTAACAACCGTAAGTATTCCATTTTTTGTCATTTTGAATGCTGCTTACGTAGCACTCCACAGGGCATGCTAGATTATTGCAGCATTATTCCAGGGTGGCAGAAGTTACAGAGCATTAACTGCAAAATGTGGATAAATTATTTTGTTAGTACTTAGTCAGGAAATCTAAACATACTTGGTTTATTTATAGGAGCGCAGTGTGACTGACTTACAAAACCACATGAGTTAAGTGCCAGCTTCAAACTTACACAGTTCGTTCTGCAGGATCCCAGAGCATAACAGAACCACAGTGAAGTCAGTTATAGACTCATACAGTATTCTCTTCACATCAGGAGTGGTTACGTTCCAATAGCAGTTGACATGTAGAAGTGTGTCAGTAGCAGTGCAAAGGCACTGTAGTGAAAAATTATGTATTCAGCTGAGAATTTAGGGAGACAGTGTAATTACCCAATTAGGACTTTGGCCAGGCCACTGAAATATTGCAGAAAAATGCCTAGGTATTTTCTGTTCTCTTAAATAGTCATGACCTTGGTTTTAAGCCTCATTTCAAAAAAAGTACCTTTGAGCTAATGGTATTAGAGGTGATAATTGGGGAAGCTCTATCTTGGTAATGGGTAAGATAGTTTGAGTGTTTGTTCATTCCTTCTCGGAGAGTGTCGAATTTTAACATGAATGACAGTTCAGAGGATTCCCTTTCAAGATTCTAATACCATTAGCTCACAAACATCCCACTCTCCCCACCTCTAATAATTTGATTTGTCCTTTTCATATGTGTTCACTTTTTTTTTTTAATTGTATCCTTTGGTATATACGGTTGTGACTACTTTCTTCCACTATTTGATCTGAGGAAGTGGGTCTGGCCCACGAAAGCTCATCATCTAATAAACCATCTTGTTAGTCTTTAAAGTGCTACATTGTCCTGCATTTTGCTTCAGCTACCCCAGACTGACACGGCTACATTTCTCTCAGTATAAATACCTGATTTTCTTCCACCAATACCAGTACAGACACCTGATTTCTTCCATCATTAGAAGGAGATTGAGAATAGGATCAAGTCCTGTTTCTAACCCCCCACAAATGTCTACCATCAGATCCTCAATGATCCTGGCAATCTGAGGTATCTAGGTACAGTGAGAATTGCCTATTGCTTCAGTACAGTTAGTGATCTTACCATTTATTGTATACTGCCCTTGGAAAACCAGTCTTATTTAACATCATCAAGGGAGATGTTAGTGGAGGGGATTATAATGAATCTTGAGCTTCTGAGGGAAGAGACGTGGCAAACACTTGTATTGAGCACAAGGGGATATATAATTCAGTAACTGTGAATATAACTTGTTTATGCAACAGGTTCGTAGGGTTGAACATACAATAGAATGTAAATGCCATTGGAATGTTGGAGAAGCCTTTTCTTTTTAAACCTAAACAATTGACTGTATTTATTCTCTCAGAGTTAATGGAGAAAACTGAATCAGAAACACCAGCTGCGGCACCAACACCAGCTGCGGCACCGGCGCCAGTAGTAAAAGGTGAATAGAGGAGTAATGAATTGCTTTTTGGAGGGCAATAAGAGTCAGATTAAGGGGCTTGCTAATGATTGAAATTGTTGCCCAATATAGTCTGCATCGTAGGCGTGCAAAGGCTGATGCTGTTGATATTCCAGATGATATTTTGAAAGTGTGCGCACTCCGGTGGTGAAGAATTTTAAAATTGGAGTAGGAAGAAACATTGCTCCCTTTTTAATTTTGTTTTTTTAATTAATTTGGTCATGGGGTATTTTTTAAAGGAGGAAGAATTAGAATTAGCATATAAAGGCGGTTCTTTTGTTCATTCCTCCGTCTTTCCATCTTTCTCTCAAAAAACTGAGCATTCCTTGGCCAGATCTTAGTTTAACCAAACCAGTTGGCCTATCACTTTCAAGGAGCAAATGTAGGGGCACTTCATTAGGATGAAGACATTGAGATCTTTTCTTGTCCTTTTTACCTTGCCCCTATAATCCCTGTTCATATCTTCAACAGCACAATAGCTGCTTGTGCCTCTAGAATGCTGTTTATATGTCTAAATAAAGATATACAGTTATAATGTACCCCCTTAGGTAGCAAAAAGATGTACTGAATCTAGTGTAAAGGTTCCATTTAGCAGTAAATCCACATGTTTTAAAGGTTGTGTCAACTAGTCAGAAAGTACCTTTCTTTAGAAAATAACTGACGTACAAATGGAAAAGTTGATTAAAATAAATTATTTAAATAGAGGTTTTCCACTTGCTGATTTAAATCAATACACTCTGCTTACATACTTGCTAATAGAACATCCTTCTTAGAAGCGACTTTATAGAGGTCATCCATGTCCTATTTCCCACACATAAGATTCTGAAGCTGTTATTGTATTGATGTTAAAGTGTATATTTAGTTTGCTTTTTTTCTCCATTCATACACCTTTAGGTACATCATTGCCTGATGAGTATTTTCAGTCCATTAAGACTCTTGCATATGTATAAAGCAGTGAATCTCACCATACTCTGTGGTGATGGCTAATTTAAATTTATTTTTTAATTATCTTCAGCAGGTCACAGTTGGATACAGTATTTGAAAGTGATCACAGGAGAGAATAATCGCTAGCTTTCTCAAGACTTGCTACAATATTTATCTTGTGCACATTGTTTAAACTATGTATGTGTTAATTTTATTATCTATTTTTTTCATTTAAGAGCCCGCTGAACCAAGCCAAATAGAAGTATCTGTAGAAGGTGAGTGCTGTCGTTTATTACAAACAATATGTATTTTTGGTGATTTTAAAGAAGGTTGTATCACTTCTAATAAAATTAAGAAGATGAAGAGGTGTTTAATCAAAACATGTCATTCTATTTTGTCTCCTGGTTCTGCATGAAGTGTTGGTTTGCATGATAATCATACAGCTCTACCTGAAAATTACTCTGCTGTAAAAATTGGTTACTCAGATTTTGCTTAATAATGAAGTTAATGAGTTGTTTAGTAAGTCATGACTTTGTGTAGCTGTGCTCATATTCTAAATGTCTGTCTTTATTCATTTGTTCCCACAATTCACAGAATGGTAACAATCACCAGAGAAAAGAAATTATTTCCATAGAAGGGCACCATTTTGAGTGCTGTTTTGCTATTTAATCATTTTCAAGAATTATGTTTTTAAAAATATAAGGATATTTTCTTAATATTCGTCTGCAGTTATTGACTTTTCCAGTGCAGTGTTGTCATTGATATTAATGAAAAGTTGGTCGAAAAGATTCTTGTTTCTTTTCCAACAGATGTAGCAGAAACAGAAGAAAGTTCTGAAATAAAACAGGAGCCGGACCCAACGTGGTAGACCTTATCAATATTAGGGTAAAATAATTTGGTATCTGTCAAAATTAATAGTTGTTAGTGGATATTATTTTTACACTGATTTGTAGAGAATGTATAATTTACGGCTAAGGCACAAAGCTGGACATCAGGAGATTAGAGCTTTCTTACTAGCTCTGACTTTGCCTTGGCCTATGATTTTATGCGAATCACTTTCTGTCTTTGGCTTACCCAGGTACTGTGCACTTTAAGTTTTTAAGGCATTCAGATACTAAATTGGTGAGTCCTATAGTACTGCTTATAAATACATATGGATTAAGATTACATACATAAGAAGACGTGAGGTTTAATTTCATTAATGTTTTAATGAGTTTTGACATGATTGGATGCAAAGGATATTATTGTTGGTATAGCCGATATAGCTGACAATTGTAATTAAGCATGGTATTTCTTCATTTTAACATTGCCTGAATTTGAGAAACACAATAGACTAATCAGCTATGATTTTAAAAAGTGATTGCTATTCATTTTAAAAGTTTTATCTTTCACTTTCTTTTAATCTCAGAAAAATCTCATTTCAAGTTTTGGGACAAAGATTCAGAGTAAATCTTACTTTATTTGAACTAGTTTTTCCATTTCTTGTTCTTACAACAGGATTCTGGTGACAGTTGAGACTGTACTAGTTGTGGTGTTGTGCCAACAAATAAAAATATACGAAATTATAATTTACTCTTAAGGGTTTATTTGTTTATAAACCATACAGAAAGGAATGTTAAATATTAAGACTTACTGCATCTGCACCAGTTTTTCTAAGTTTGAATTTATTAAAAAGCTGTGGAATAATTTTTTTTAGTTTTGAACTTGGATACTTTTGTAACCTGTCAACTTCACTCACATAAGGATGGGTTGTATTTGTCTAGTACATTTGTGCTATGATCACCCTTTTAAAAAGTAAGAAAATGCTATCAACTATATGCATTACGAAGTTTATAATTTGAGGTTGAATATCAATAAAAACTTTCCACATAGGTCTGTTAGTCTGTCAAGTAGTATTTCAATGGTAGAAATTCTACTTTTTGTAATAGTTAAGTTAGACTGGAAAAAGCATAAGAAAATTTTGGAATACTTTATTTTTAGGGAGATGGACTTAACTTAATAGTTGTATAAAATCTTGTTGTTGTAATGACTGTTAATGTAATTTTGAAGACTTCCTTTGGTTTAAATTCCCATTGAAGCTTGTGGGAGTTGTCTGTGTTAAGGGCTGCAGGATTTGGTCTCTGGTTTTGTGTCTCCTGCTGCTTTGCAATTCCACTCACCTAATGGATTCAAGAGAGGATTTACATCAAGTGGAACACATGGTTAATGCCCTGATTTAAGAGGCCATTCAAGCATATACTTAAGCACTAGCTTTCCTGAATAAGAATGGGCTTAAGTATTTCCTTGAATTACAGCCTAAATGGAGGACCTGAAGAGCTGTGCAACAATTTGTCAAGTACTAGTGTGTGTGTAATAGGATACATATCTGCAATGAAACTAACTTCACCTTTGTACTTTTTTCCTATCTAGTCAGAAGCATGCAGTCCGGAGAAGAGCTTGCTGGGACTGTCCTGAACTGTGTAATATAATTGTATAAGAGAAGTACCTTCTATACAAACCCTTTTTGTACTTTTAGATAGAAATGTCTACTTTTTCAGCAGTTCTGTGAATTGACTTAAAGCAAAGAGTGACTGTAGATTTGGAAAGGCTGATTATATATTATAAGGATTAAATTTGAGGCAGCAATGCTGAAAAAATGACAGGGATTAATTCAGATTTTCAAAAAATCAACAGGAATCTAGAAGCTGTCTACATTTCCCAATAAAGTAGAATTGTACTGTGCCTGGATACATCTCAGCTTTTGCGATGAAGAAAAATACCTACAGTAGTAGTTCAGTTAATTTTCTGTTTTGGGAAAAAATAATGATTTTTGGTTCTTTCTCCTTAATGGCTGATTGGACAATAGTATCTGTATATTTGAACTAATTTTTCCTATGATATCTATCTCAATTCATATGTTTTTCATAAATAAAAGATGAACTCGTTCACCTGACCGTTAGTATGCATTAATAAAATGGACTATGAAATGATCAGCAACTCAGTGTCTGGATTAGGAACAAACTTAAATTTAGCCCTGCTTACATTTTGTTCCATTATTTCAAAGTAAAGAGTGCATGTTTATCAGGGTATCACGTTATTTATGTAAGAGAAGGATCCAGTCTGGTAGCCCTAATGCAAGCAAAACTCCCAATGACTTATGTGAGAGTTTTATATACGAGGACTTCCATATGATGCCCTTTAATTCATTTAAAACCAGTCGTGGACACTTATGCAACTAAGCTGCTGTAAGACCTAGTATGTTGAGAGTTAAGTTACCTATAGTTCTTTCTGATTGCTCCCCACATCCTGTAAAAGACAAATGTAAGAGTTTTTAAATTTAACAAACCATAAGAGATGTAAAGTGCTGACTATGTGCTAAGGTCTATGGAGTAAATATCAAGTATTGTAAAATTTTCTTTTTTGAGATGACTGCATTATGCACAAATGGGTAAATCTTACTTCCAGGTTGCAGAAATAAATACATTTCTGATGGTTTTCACAAGTACCCATGCAGTATAAATTGATGTATTTTGCTGCAAATTGTTGTAGCTGTAGTATTAACAAAAAGTAAAATATGCTGTAGCATATTTATAAATTAAGATTAAATAAAATCCATTCATGCCTTTCTGACACAAATCCAACTTTACAGGGCTCTTTTTATTACATCTTCGAGGAAACTTTTTGTAGGATCTCATTTTTCTTCATATAATGAAGGTATATGAACTTGGAATATATAGCAGAGGAAATATTTTAAAGGCACAGCTCAGGTATTTTCACAAGTACATGGTTTCTGCAATTCTAAAGCTGCAAGATGTGCTGCGGACATGCTTAAAGAGCTGTAGAATCTATGCTTTTGGGTTTTTTAAATGGTGAGATTTTTCAAACGTGCTCAGTGTAGGTCCAACTGGTCCCAGTGAAATGAACGGGAGTTCTATCATTGACTTGAGTAGAGCAGAGTTAGGTTCATGTTGAGCCCCTTTGAAAAGATGACTCTGAGGGCTTGTTTCCACTACACCTGGGGATCAACACTGCAGTGATTGATCCACTGGCCATCGATTTATCACATTTGCTTAGACACGATAAATTGATCTTTAAGTGCTCTCCCGTCGACTCCGGAACTTGACCAGGGCAAGAAGAGTAGCCAGTGTTGAAGGGAGAGAACCCCTGCTGACCTTTCCCCCCACATGTCACACTATATCAACTTCAACTACTCTGTTTGCATAGCTGAAGTACATAGATGACCGGTTAGTGTAGACTAGGCCTAAGTGTCTAAATCTTGTAGTTGCAAAGAAGGCCTTCCAGATAGGAATCAAATTGAAACTGATAGAGGTGCTGCCTTCCTGATTCTGTTCCATTAATGTACTTTTACATAATTGTTTTAAAATTCTAGAAATTGGCAATTTGTGTGGCAACTGTTGCTAAAGGGTTGCTGGAATGGGGAGCTAGTTTAATTACCACTCAAATTTTGAGTCAACTTTGAGTCTGACCCTAAGGAGAAAAGTGGTGCTTTCTTTCCTCATGCCTCAGCTGTCTCCTGTGTGCCAAAAATCTAAACTGCTCTATGAGCCCTGATCTGCTTTTCTCTCAATTAACCAATATTTAACATCCCTAGCCTGAACCCTTACAGACAGCCCATGGCAGTTCTATATGAAAGTCTATACACCAATGCAGTCTTCAGCTTTGGCTCTGTTAGAAGTAACAGCATCACTTTGGTTGTCTCAGGTATGAGTCACTTATAAAGGAAAAATCACACTGACCAAGCAATTGCATGAATTTTCACTTTCCAGATATTTAATTGAAGGCACAAATCAATAGGTCAGCATCTGACAAGTGTGGTAGCATGTGTGGAAAATGATCGTTTCCAAAAGAGGTATATCACTTTTTGGGGTCTGAGGTGAGGGAGATCATGCTTGTCTGCTCCTAAAAATTGCCAATAACTATTACCAGCGTCCTGAACGTTTTTATAGTAGAGAAATACTGAACAGTCTGATGCCAAATACTTAGAAAAGTTCCATTATATATACAGAACTATTCATCTCCTGCTAAGGGGAGTCTTTTTCTCCTAAACAAGAGTCTTGGTCCTGATAAGCTAGAGATTAAAATTTCTAGAGAGAAAATTAACCTTCAAAACATTTGCACTTACTGGATTTTATGAGGTCATGTTTAACCACTAGGTGTCAGTTAATGCTTATTTTTCCAGCCTGAATCCTCTCTTAAACTTGCTCTACTCAAATTTATATTGGTTCCTATCTCTGAAACATAAGAATGGCCATACTGGGTCAGACCAAAGGTCCATCTAGCCCAGTATCCTATCTGCTAACAGTGGTCAATACTGGATGCCCCAGAGGGAGGGGACACAACGGGCAACCCACACATGATCCCTCCCCTGTCATCCATCTCCAGACAGGCTAGGTGCACCATTCTTACCCATCCTGGCTAACCTCTATGAATCTGTCTAGCTCTTTTTTGAACCCTCTTAAAAGTCCTAGTCTTCACAACAGCCTACTGACCATGCTCTGGAGAAGCAAATGAAGTAGTGGGGGTATGTTCCTTGTCTCATTATAGAAGCATCTTATCTTCTGTTAGAGCCACAAGTCTACTTTCATCTCTTGCATCATATTAAAAGTATGGCGAAACAGGAAGGAAGATACTGCATCATTTCCAGTCAGTGACTTTCTGTAATTCAATTTTAAATTTGGTGCAGACTGAGGTAATTTTTATACGAAAGTAGTTTTCAGGACAAAAATGCTTTTAGGTTGCCAATATTTTGCCTTATTTTTAAGTCTGACGTGAATGCCAGCTATTTAATAGGGTAGAAATCAAATACAGTGAAAAGGGTGGGGAAAGTTGAATTTGTTTAAAGTATTTCATAGTTGTAAAATGGTGTATAAGTACCATAAAGTAACAGGAACAATGTTTAAACAGGTACCCCCATGTTTACCACATCAGGTTATACTCCTGCGGTAGGAATAACCTTGACACTCAGCAGAACAGTCCTCCGGTAGCTGGGTTTGCAGCAACCAAATAATGAAGGTGCCATCCAGCCAGTGGTCCAGAATGCAATTGCCTGTCTTCTCTGAATGCAGGCCAATATGTACATACTTCTGCTCCAGTCCCTTGGCTCAGTATTGCAAACACCCAATGTTCAAAAATCATGAGTTAAACTCCCCCAAGTTGCAAGTTTGGCTTAAAGATCCTAATGATTCCTTTAGCGTTCGCCTAGTGGTGTTCAGAGTGCGTTAGGATTCATGGTTGCAAGTTTTCCTCTGCATCAGGGGCCTTCTGCGTCCCAAGCAGTTCCATAATTTCGCCCCAGGTGGCTGCTGGCAGGGGGAGGGTCTGTGCTCTCTTCTGTCCCCTTTCCTCAGGCCCCCTCCCCCAAGGGATGTGGTCCAAATACCAGCGTGGCAGTAAGGATAGGTTCCCCCCACCATCACCACGGTGATGGGAAATGCGAGGAAGGGGAGTGACAAAGTAGCTTCTGCTCCGCTGCCAGCCCAGTTCCTCTGTTTCGTTGTGGCAGTAGGAAGCAGGGCGGCTCAGCTCTAGCATGGTCTGGGTTGGAGATGGTGGCAGAGCAGAGCAGGCTGCTGTGTAGCTTTACTTCCCTGCAGTGAGTGCAGGAGGCCCTGACCCCGCTGCTGGCCACAGCCAGCCTAGGGCCCTGTGGGCTAACGAGCATGGGGGACAATCCCGTCCAAAAGAGAGTTGGAGTGGCCATGCGCGCACACGCACATCCCCCTTTCATACGGTGTGCTCTGTCTACACTGGGCACTGGCATTCAGGAGTGAGCATGTCTACCAGAGTGCATTTCTGTAGTGCAGACAAGACCCAAGTGTTACCCCTCCATTGACCAGGCCAGGAGTGTCTGCTGCCAGGCCTTCCTTTTAGCATTCCCTTCCTCCCCTACGTCCATTCGGCACCGCAAGGAGTGTTGGGTAGGCTGCTGGCTCAATGCATTATTCCACTGGCCTCCTTCCTTGCTGTTCTCTTTCTCTCAGGCTCCCTTTGCACTGTTACAGACCTTTCAACTGGAAAATAGTACCCAGGCATTGTGTGCAATGCACAAGGCGGCAGCCCATGCCACATGCCCCTGCCACGCTCTTCCCTGCTGCTCCCGCTCTGGGCTGGGGTTGGTCAGCTTGTCTTGGAGCTTCATTTGAAGAGACATAATGGGTCCTGTCTGGGGAGACCGTTGTTCAGAGAATACTATTACAGGTGGTCATAGGCTGAAGCGGTTACTTTCATGTCCTTGAGTCCTTTCCTCCAGCTCCCTTCAAGGCCCTCATGAAGTACAGGGGGCTCTAGTATAATACAGGGGGAAGAGGGAGGAGGCACCGTGATGGAGGAGACCGGTCATCTGGAGTTTCTGTAGATTCCTGCCCTCCCTTAGGTAGAAGAGCAGAGCTGCTGAGCAGGGTTCCCGCTAATTTTTCCATCCATGTGCAGAACACATTTTGTGACGTGCACCACCAATAGAAATACGGGCACTTGGCTAATCAGCTGAGTCTACTGGGTTGAGATGACCTTAGCTTACAGGGCATGCTGCTACTGAGGACCGCTTGTTTCTCTTCAGGGACTGGAGCCCTACAAAGGGCATAGGGCCAGATGTTGCCAGGGTGGCAGGGGAGTGACACTGCCCTCCCCAGCTGAAATTTGCCCCATATGCTGTACCGCAACCCCCCACAGGCTTCAGGTACCAAGTGATGAACAAAGCTCCAAAACAAAGGAGCCAAAATGCCACAGGCGTTTGTCACCTTTCAGCTACGACGTGTCAAGATTTGGATCCGGCCCATCCCGTGAGCGTTTTTCCGGGTGCTGCTGCCAGATCAGGCACGATTAGCTCACCCGCAGCAGGAAGATGGGTGGAGTGAATTAAAAATAAAGGGCCTATTGCTGCCACAAGTTCCTAGGAAACCCTGCTAGAGAAGATGCTCTCATTGTTTCGTCTCAAAATAAAAACCGGAGGGGTAAACTGTCATTGTCTACGTGCTCCT